ATCTACATATTGTATACATAAACATATACATCATAAATTCGTATACCCAATACCCATGCAAGTTGTATGATACAATAGTGTTTAATATATTAGCTTACGTAAATTAATAGCTTAAAAAAAGGTTTATTATGAATGTGTAGGTAATTTGTTAGTGTAGTACATAAACCGTATACCCAAATACCTTATAACTTATATTTATAAATTATAGTTTAATTAGAATATGATTGTCTTTTACTTAGAAGTTGTGGTAGTATACATGACTAAACTTAACAAAATACGTAAATTACCTGTACAAGCAATGTAATAAATTAAATTGATTTGTTGATTTTGTTGCAAACTCTAACAATTTATAAAAAATGTATAAAATATAAAATACATTTAGAAGTATACCTATAGGTATTAAACATCTTCCTCGTTCATTATGAAAAATAATGATGCAAATAATTTACATGTACTCGTAAGTCATAATACATTATTATTTTATTATATTTTCTATTTATGATTAATGATTATTGATTAGGTACCTACACATTTTCAAGACTATAAAAATGTTCAGTTTTGACAATCGCAAATGTAAAGTAAAACGTTTTTATGTAAACATATTATACGTACAATGCGAACATAATTTCAATGTGAAGAAACTGTGACGTTGAGATAAATAAAATTCAAATTCAAATCTGCTAAAATTAACAAGTTTAGTCTGAATACNCCCCCCGATGTCGTCTAAACTCCGCTCGCCCGATTGACGGTCGATACCGCCACCTTAGCTGGTATTTACATATATGTTCGTGACAATAGAACGGCCACTGGGCGATAATAATACCCGGGTTCTCTGAAAAGCCAAAAACAAATAGTAACTTGTCTATATAAATACTTTAAATTGTAATAATATATCAAAAGCATGTTTAAAAGAATTAAACACACGCGTATAATACATTTTTGGCTGCATGAGACGTCGAATTTCGGTATAAAAAATTAAAAACAATTGTACATCAAATTTATTTATTCTTGCTTAATAGGTAGTATTACGTTTTTCAACTAAAGGTATATTTTATTATGTCACTTAATCATAATTTATTTATTGTGAGAATTGAAAGACCGAAAGTTTTACTTTTCTTTTTTACTTTTTTCTTTTTTGAAAATCAATAACAAAGTAATTTTATCTCAATACAAAATTACATAAAAAAATTTTTTTTTCAATTTACATCAAAATAGGTACAACATAATATTATTATTATGTATTTGATGTAGATATATTCAATATTTGTAAAAAGTTACTGCATATATATGTGTATAATATCCATATATAGGTGATGATATTGATTATTTGTCGTCCACCTTGTCCGAATTCTTGAAACTAAGGAAACTATGCATTTTGTTCATACCCTGCATCCCCAAATACCTCGATGATCCATTGAAACTGTCACCAGGTTGATTTTAAACCTTTTGATACCCTTTAAAATGTAAAGAAAACATTTTATTAAAAACAAAATGTGTACCTTAGTGAGAATTGAAATTAAAAATACATTTAATAAACTTTGTAAAAGCGATATATTTTAGCATATCACTTTACTAGCTATGTGGCTTTTAGAATTTTCATTTTATGCCTGATGTATGGACAATATTATGTTATATTTTTTTAGAAATATTTCTTACTTTCAACGTTTTTTTACAATTTATAAGAATTTGATAAATCATTTTTGTACGAATATAATGTCGCATGATAGATAATTATTTTAACCCAATAATCAACTTTAGTTTGTATCCTACTTTTAACCTAATACTTGAATAAATACGTCAAATCAAAATATCCCTTAAAAATTATTTGGTCCCTAAATATTTGTGTGTTCGCATAATTATAAAAAAAAGATTATTGGTTTTTTTTTAAATTCTGGGTTTTCGTTATTTTATAATATTAATTGTAAGAAATATGAGTTAGTCGTATGTATAGTTGACTGTAAAATGCAATTCTAGGTACCTATGTTTTAAGACATAAGTATTGAACAATGTTGAATAATATTGTGTTTGATCTTACAAAATAGAATATTGTTTTTTTCATTTTTAATCATATAAAAAATGTATACCTAAATGGCTAGCTATTATATGCTATTAATATTCAATAAAGTCATTAAAAAATTATAGGAAAAGGTATTGAATATTAATTTGAATGTGAACAAATCATTATATTAGTGTATATAGTATTTGAATCAACTAATATTGAAATAATGTTCAATAACGAAAACACTCAACTAGTTTTCAAATATTCTGAAATGAATGGAATTTTAATATAATATTGTGATATTAAATGACACAATTAGATTATTATTATTTAAGATTTAATATAATATATTAAATATACAAGATAAATTTTAAATTTTTTGAATGTAAAATATGTGCTGGACGCATAGTTTTTAGGTTTCTTTTTTAAACTAATGTGGTCCAGAATTGAATTGCTTCATCAGGAAAAAATAATTTACCGTTGTCTGTTTTTTAATTCACACAAAATCACGGTATACCAACAATTTAGTATAATAATATTAATATTGCAATTCTGGGTTTTTAATTTACCATGTACAGAAGAAAAATCTGTTTGATAATAACGTACAATGATTTTTATTAAAACTAATACCTTTTTTCTAATACCTACTTCTTTTACAGCTGTAAAAATCAATGTATTAATAAACGATTAATGTTCTATTTTCGACTAACAAAAAAAAAATTAGTAAAGAAACCCTTTCTTAAAATGAATAAAACCACGATACCATAAAAATCACATTATTATAGAAATAAAAATAATTAAGTTAGTTGATTATAAGGCGAAATTGATTAAAAATGTACAAACAAATTTACCCTTTAGTAAAATTAAGTATTTTACTTTTTATTGCAAGTTAAAAAGTATAAATATTTTTTTATAGTTTATATTTCATAAGCAGGCAGTTTCTGGTATCAGTAGTGGTTTCAAGCGCGGTGATGAAGGCGACCACCTCCTCTCTTTGAATAGGTTAATCCTTTTTAATAGTATGTAATTAATAAAAATAATAATTTATGGCAATTATTAACAGAAGTCAGTAAATATTATAAAAGTTTTAAAATATAGCAAGAATAAAATGTTAGTACGCTTGGGTAGTCTACACCACCGAGAGGATGAAAATAATTTTGTTTGCATATTTTTTTTGAGTAGTAATAAAAGTGAAACATTTAAAGTCACACACCCTCCTCTCCTGAAGTTTTGTCAAAACCGCTACTGTGCAGTAAATACTATACACAGTATAGTATGTTGGTGTGCTATTAGTAATTTGTGTAGAATTAGGTATTTCCAGAACAAAATTGCATACCTATTCATTATTCATAATTTGTTTGTACTTATTACATATAAGTTATATATAAGTGTACTTGCATAGTTACACGCATGCTATAACCTATCCTATGTGGGTATGTATCGTTAGAAATTATAGACACTATAATATGTTTAACACATATCTATACGATTTAATCAACTGCTATTTCGCTACAGGCGCATTATTAACCAGTGGCTTTTCTTTTATTTATCCCTCGATAAACGTTATTTTATAACAAAAATCATTTCTATCCGCAGTTAATCGCTCGCGATTCGGTTGTGTGAGAAACGTTAACCCGCAGACAAGTAAAGCCTGCGGAGGATTACCTACGGCCGATCGCTCGCGAAATAAATACATGTAATTGTTTCCGAAAAGAAAAACGAAATTAGTATGAAAAGTTTTATCGGATTCCAAACAACACATTTCTTAACCGCGCCGCATTCGTCGTCGTCGTCGTCGTCGTCGGTGTCTGGTGGCTCGGCGCTATTAAAATTTACGGTCACTTTGTATCCGTGTACGGGCACGCACCTACACACACGCGCGAGCACAGACTTTTGCGATTTACCGAGAAATAATTTCACAAGCGTATTATAGTCGTCGACCCACGCGTACCTCCATAATATAATAATATGTGCGTATCGGCGGGTCTTCTATATATATATATAAAAGCCCCGTTTGAACCTATCTCGACGAGCGCATCGACTCTTTTACGACCGACCTCGACGTTTCCACGACGGTGTCCTCGTCACCATCGTCTTACCGCAGTCGGGATTCGTCTCTCCGACGATGCTCTATGGTATCGCGCGGTGTTACGCCGTCCGTCACACACCTGTAGTAATAATAAATGTACGTCGCGCGCGATATCCTTTTCCCCGCAGTCGTCGTATCCACTACGTCGTCAGAAGCGCAATTAAAAATAATATCTGAATGTTGTACTGCAATATTTCTCGGTAACGAAAACGCCAGAGTTATTATCGCAGCAAACAAACATAATATATATATATATATAATATATATATGTGTGTGTGTAACATTATGGCGGAGGTATACATCGCGGGCACTTAGGTGTATATAATACATATTATAATATAATATGCGAAAAGTGTGTGTGTGTGTGTGTGTGTGTGTGTGTGTGCGTGCGTGCGTGCAGTGTATATACTGAAATATTACGCCGAATCCGTGGCCGTGGCGGTCCGGGCGAAAGGGTTGGCATACCGGCTAACATGGTAGTTTAATTACGCGGTCCCTTCCCCCACCCCCTTCCACGACGTCGTCCGGCCTCGCCGCCGACACCACCACCACCACCGCCACAACCGCGTTCCGTCAACCACCCGCACTCGCACAAACACACACGCACACACACACGGGCGCACGTAACGCGGCCGGTCGCGTTCCCGCGATAAGACAACGGCCGGCAGCACAGCGAGCGTGAGCGGACGTTGCGGCGCGGGGGTCATAATGGACGTCGCTGACGGCGGTCGGCGGCGGGTAGAATCCGCGTATATATAGCGTCCGCGGCGGCGGCGGAGGAGGATGCGGAGGAGTAGCAGCAGCAGCAGTAGGAGGCGGAGGAGGAGGAGGAGGAGGAGGAGGAGGCGGCGGTGGCCGTAACCAACCCTCCCGCNACAAAAAAAAAATTAGTAAAGAAACCCTTTCTTAACCCTTTATAGGGCAAGGGGATATATATTTCCCACCCAAGAAAAAAAATTCTAGCACCTTGTGGTCAGAGGTAATATTTTTCCCACTTGTTTGAAAAAAACCGTTATTTTTTTCTACATACGACAGTATCAATTACATGTATTTGATAACATTTCAAATAAGAGTAATAAATCAAAAACGATCAAAGTGGGAAATTATCATCCCATTGCCCACCGGCGATACACGTTTTTTCCCTCTAATAAATATTCTATAAAAATTGTTATTTGTTTTAATTTTGATAAATAAACAGTTTAACTTATAAGGTCTTTGGTGGTATTAATTTAAAGATAACATTTTAGCGCGTTTTTCTGTGTTATCTTACAATTCATTTGAAATGTATTTTCTGTGTTATCAATTTATAAAAATAATTGAATATTATTTTCAAATATGTGATTGTGATTTTGAACTTAAAAAAAATACTCTTGAACTTCAATAAAAATCTTGAAGTAAGTACATTCTGAATCATAATTTTATACTCTTTCGATAAATATACACTTTCGGGGCCAAAAATGACCCACTTACAAAATATTTACGAATAATTATCAATTTTTTTCTTAGATGTTATCAGAATATGAGATTCTAGAAGAGTTGAATGCTATTACTGATGATATGGCATTCGATTCTGAAGACGGTGGAGATTCTGATGCAGAAGACTATACCACCATTGTAAATAACTCTCTAAATAAACAAGTTTGGCATTTATCTACCAGATCATCAGGTAAATAAAACTAATAATAATTTTTTTAATTTCTTATAATATTTAATTAGAAATTTTTTGTGCTTGTAGGTTCTAGTATGACTGAAACTGAAGTGCATGTGCCTAATGTAGAAAATATCGAACAAACAAATAGTAACATTCCTTCTACTTCTCAAAGTAAATTTTAATTTATAATTATTCGATATTTTGAATTAGATTTTTATATGCATTTGTTTTATATGTTATAAAAAGTGAAAATGATTTGGCGCAAAAACATTGTATTATACAATTTAGTATATCATGTGTACCTAGGTTCTGAATTGTATTATTTATTATTTTATAACATTTTATTCATACACTATTTGTGGGTACCTATATAGGTATTTACTAAAATAAATTTGTACCTACCTATATTTATGTAAACTTATAAAATATGTTCTTATAAACAACACTGCAATAACTAATATTTATTGTAATGTAAAAATAAAACTTTGATAAAAATATTAATATAGTACCAATAGTTATATATATGAATAAAATGACTATTAATTTAATTATATAGAGTAGTATTCTGATTAAATATTATAGCTAATGGTAAAATATATTGATAGATAATTTTATTTTGTCAGATATACATAATGATTTGGAGTTGCTAAAAGATATTATGTCCAGCTCAGATGAGGAAATGGATGACATTGATAAAGATAAAGATTATGTACCAACTCAGCAACAGCAACTGTTTGTAGATTTAGATGAAGTTAATATTGATGACTTACCTATTGATATAAATATATTTCTAAATAATGATTATCTTGAAAACGAACTCATAAATGTAGAAGTTGACAATGTTTCAAATCCAAATATAAGTGGTGAATTTAATTTTGTAAAATCAGGACAGTCTCCAAAAAAATTTAAAAAAGTTAGATTTAGAGAAGAACAAGGTCCAGTAGACAAAAACATTTATAAAATGCCGCCTATAGACATATTTCAATTGATGATTGGTCCTATACTTCAAACAATTGTTCAACAAACAAATTTATATGCTCAACAAAAAAGTGTTGATATCAACACAAGCATTGAAGAAATAAAAGCGTTTATTGGAATATTGATTTTTATGGGTTACCATAGCTTACCCAGCATCAGGTTATATTGGTCAAATGATCCTAATTTTTTCTGCGAACGTGTGGCCAAAATCATGCCTGTAAAAAGGTTTTTGAAAATTCTACGGTTACTTCATCTTAATGATAATTCCCAAATGCCATCAAGAAATTCTTTGGAATTTGATAAGTTGTATAAAATTCGTCCTATGATAACACACTTGAAAGATATTTATCAATCTGTATATCGTCCATCTAGGTACTTGGCAGTTGATGAAAGTATGGTAGCATATAAGGGCCGTTCCACCATGAAACAATATATGCCCATGAAACCTATTAAAAGGGGTTTTAAAATATGGGCATTGGCTGATTCTTATAGTGGTTTTTTACTGAATCTCGACATATACACTGGAAAAAAATCAAATGGAATACCTGAGTATGGACTAGGAGAAAATGTTGTGTTATACTTGACCAAAAAATTGAAAAACTTATTTTATTGTGTTTTTTTTGATAATTTTTTTACAAGTATACCTCTAATTTTTAAACTTTTGTGTGATGGTATATTTGCATGTGGGACATTTAGAGTAAACAAAAAGTATTATCCAAAACACCTTATGAAAAATGATGGCAAATATAATTCTGGTGACATTGAATATGCCCAAAGTGAAGATATTGGTATTATGCGATGGAAGGATAGAGGAAGTAAACCAGTGACACTTGTTAGCAATATGCATAACTCTTCAGATACATCTACAGTACTGAGAAAAAATGGCAAAGGGGAAAGGATTCAAGTAAAGTGCCCTACTGGAATATCAGATTATAATAAATACATGGGAGGAGTTGACAAATTTGATCAATATATGTCTCCATATTCAATTTCCCAGAAGTCGAGGAAGTGGTGGATAAAACTTTTTTATTATATGGTTGATACTGCTATTGTTAATTCTTATATTTTATATAAAGAAAGTTGCAATAAGAATAAAAAAAAATACATTACACATTTAGAGTTTAGATCAAGACTAACAGATGAACTTATTGGAAATTTTTCATGCAGAAAAAAGTGTACATCTTCACCCCACGAACAAAGAAGTAAAAAAAAACAAAAACTTTCCATCAATCATAATTTTACAGGTGTTGATCATATGCCAAAGTTCATTGATAAGTATAGAAGATGTAAAATGTGTAGCACGAAAGCTAAAGAAAAAAGATCAAATATGATTTGTTCTACATGTGAAATAACACTATGCAAACAATGTTTTGAACCCTATCACAAACCTACCTAGAACTGATTATATTTTATTACTTTTTATTATTTATATGGAAAATTTCAGAAGTGTATTGTTTTATTATTAATATTGTACATAATTATTATTTTAAACCAAATTTTTTTTCTTACATTTATATAAAGAAATGAAAATACTGTGATAATATTGTGATTTATGAACTACAGGTGCAAAGTAATTGATAATGTTTTTTTTTTAAATTAGGTTTGTTTTTTAATTTTATTTCATTAGAAATTTATTGGTTGATTTTATTGAAAGGATGTATATTTATTTTTTATTTTTTATCAATTTTTTGTTATTACATTTATAAAAAGAAATAAAAAGACTGTAATAACATTATGATTTGTAAACTATACCAAGTAATTGATTATGTTTTTTTTTTAATGAGGTTTGTTTTAATTTTATTTCATTAGAAATTTATTGTTTGATTTTATTGAAAGGATGTATATTTATTATTTATTTTTTATCAATTTTTTGTTCTCACATTTACATAAAGAAATAAAAAAAAACTGTGATTTATGAACTATAGGTACAAACTACAAAGTAATTGATTGTTTTTTTTTTTTAATGAGATTTGTTTTTTAATTTTATTTCATTAGAAATTTATTGGTTGATTTTATTGAAAGGATGTATATTTATTATTTATTTTTTATCAATTTTTTTTTTTTACATTTATAAAAAGAAATAAAAAGACTAACATTATGATTTGTAAACTATACCAAGTAATTGATTATATTATTTTTTAAACGAGGTTTGTAATGTTTTATTTTATCAGAAATATATTGTTTGATTTTAATAACATAATATTTTTTACTTTTTTTTAATATTTATATTAGTTTGAATGAGTCTTATATATTTATCTAAGTAACCGCATAAGTGGGAAATATATTACCATTGCCCGTTCAGTAAATCCCATGGTCGTAAAGGGGCAAAGGGAAACTATTTTCCCACCACTTTTCCAACCATGCAAAACAAATAAAAAATTTTCCAATATTTTTCCCAAAATCAGAGTACTCCATAGTGCATGTACACCAATTTTTAGAATAATCTGACGATTTTTTTTGTTCTGCCCTATAAAGGGTTAAAATGAATAAAACCACGATACCATAAAAATCACATTATTATAGAAATAAAAATAATTAAGTTAGTTGATTATAAGGCGAAATTGATTAAAAATGTACAAACAAATTTACCCTTTAGTAAAATTAAGTATTTTACTTTTTATTGCAAGTTAAAAAGTATAAATATTTTTTTATAGTTTATATTTCATAAGCAGGCAGTTTCTGGTATCAGTAGTGGTTTCAAGCGCGGTGATGAAGGCGACCCCCTCCTCTCTTTGAATAGGTTAATCCTTTTTAATAGTATGTAATTAATAAAAATAATAATTTATGGCAATTATTAACAGAAGTCAGTAAATATTATAAAAGTTTTAAAATATAGCAAGAATAAAATGTTAGTACGCTTGGGTAGTCTACACCACCGAGAGGATGAAAATAATTTTGTTTGCATATTTTTTTTGAGTAGTAATAAAAGTGAAACATTTAAAGTCACACACCCTCCTCTCCTGAAGTTTTGTCAAAACCGCTACTGTGCAGTAAATACTATACACAGTATAGTATGTTGGTGTGCTATTAGTAATTTGTGTAGAATTAGGTATTTCCAGAACAAAATTGCATACCTATTCATTATTCATAATTTGTTTGTACTTATTACATATAAGTTATATATAAGTGTACTTGCATAGTTACACGCATGCTATAACCTATCCTATGTGGGTATGTATCGTTAGAAATTATAGACACTATAATATGTTTAACACATATCTATACGATTTAATCAACTGCTATTTCGCTACAGGCGCATTATTAACCAGTGGCTTTTCTTTTATTTATCCCTCGATAAACGTTATTTTATAACAAAAATCATTTCTATCCGCAGTTAATCGCTCGCGATTCGGTTGTGTGAGAAACGTTAACCCGCAGACAAGTAAAGCCTGCGGAGGATTACCTACGGCCGATCGCTCGCGAAATAAATACATGTAATTGTTTCCGAAAAGAAAAACGAAATTAGTATGAAAAGTTTTATCGGATTCCAAACAACACATTTCTTAACCGCGCCGCATTCGTCGTCGTCGTCGTCGTCGTCGGTGTCTGGTGGCTCGGCGCTATTAAAATTTACGGTCACTTTGTATCCGTGTACGGGCACGCACCTACACACACGCGCGAGCACAGACTTTTGCGATTTACCGAGAAATAATTTCACAAGCGTATTATAGTCGTCGACCCACGCGTACCTCCATAATATAATAATATGTGCGTATCGGCGGGTCTTCTATATATATATATAAAAGCCCCGTTTGAACCTATCTCGACGAGCGCATCGACTCTTTTACGACCGACCTCGACGTTTCCACGACGGTGTCCTCGTCACCATCGTCTTACCGCAGTCGGGATTCGTCTCTCCGACGATGCTCTATGGTATCGCGCGGTGTTACGCCGTCCGTCACACACCTGTAGTAATAATAAATGTACGTCGCGCGCGATATCCTTTTCCCCGCAGTCGTCGTATCCACTACGTCGTCAGAAGCGCAATTAAAAATAATATCTGAATGTTGTACTGCAATATTTCTCGGTAACGAAAACGCCAGAGTTATTATCGCAGCAAACAAACATAATATATATAT